TGCTCGGCCATGTTTAATTTTTATTCGTGAACAATTTCAAAACATTCTGAACACCTAGTTCAGGTCTAGTTTGAGAAACCGACGAGGATATGACCACTGTCCGATGAAAGCATACCTCATAATATTATTTTAGATTAACATTTTACTATTAAAATAACCAAATCCGACGACTCCTCTCGAAAACCGGTTCGCAGAGTGATTCATATTCCATAAACATTTTTAATTTAATTCGGCTTCATGAAACTATACGAATGAAATATTATTATATATTATGTATAAATGCATTTCAGTTTTCTGCGTCTTTGCTGCGATATGATAATGATATAATCGTATTCAGAAAGTTTAAATATAAATCAATTATTTCCAAGTTAAGGCTAATCTATTCCATTGTATCACTTGCACAATAGAGTTAATATAAATCAAACATAATATATTATTTAGTTATAGTCCTGCTGTGCGTTGGTAATTTTTTTAAGTTTTTTCAAGTTTCATTACTTTCTTCCACAGTTTAACCATTTCTATGTTTAAGATGACTGTCCACTGGCGTAATTGTTTTACCATGAATTATCAGTACCTAGAAACGTATTACTTATTTAAATCTTCACGTCTATAAAAGTATCTTCGATATGTTGTTACTTTTAAAAATTTAATTTAGTAATAGAAAAAGAAAACCTAATTGACTAACCAGGTTTAAAATACGAGTTATGAGAATTTTGGTTAAAAAGAGTTTTATTTAAATTTAATATGCAAATGGAGCGTGCACTTTTTGTTAGTAACAATGGTTAGCTAGTCATGCCATATTATAGGTTACAAGTTATAACTTATAATGTTGTGTATAATAGGTATATAATTAATAATTACAATACCTTATAGAACATCAAATTATATAGGTATCAATGCATTTTGAAAATAATTCTGGCTAAGTTGTCTTCACAGTGAAGAAAATAATAAATACTGTTGAAACTTATGGAGCTTAACGGATATTTTAAGAGAGTATACCATTTGAACGTGACAGGACTACGCGTGCAGACCGTGACACTATATAATATTATAATGTTTCGATGAGTACGCATCACGATATGATAGTATAGATTTAAGATAGTAAGGTACTATCTTTAATCGTGGTACTCATGGTCGAGAGCTAGTGAATAGATTTTGACAATTTCGTTTGAAAAACTATCGGGAACTGGGAAGTAATCATAGTATTACGCGTTATCGGTTGATGTGTATGAAGGTTACACAATATATTATACGGACATCCGATAGGTATCTTTCAGAGACTAAACCTACTTATAAGATAAGTGTACATAGTATTATATCTATGAGAAATATAAGCCGTTCGTGAATGTACGAGTGTAATACCATTAAATTGTATTAAATTAAACAGAGTTTATAGTTCCAAAACGCGGAATCATTAGGTACTTACGTTTTTATTGAACGTTTCGTTTTATTATTGTCATTACTCTATAATACGCGAATCAAATGCGCGGTGGAAATTTTGTTGGTGATATTACAAAGAGCGAGAAAAAATAATGGAAAATTTACACCGTTGATAATTTCTCGATTTGACACACCGATATCACCGTGCACTAGTGATATTATTATCGCGTGGACAACCATTTGCGAATTATCGAAAATTATAAGAACGCAGGAAACGGTAAAGTCACGCGCTTTCATATGGGCGGTCCTTGGACGTCTGCGATAGCGTAAGCAGCATGATACTTTTTCCTCAAGAAACAAATTTTTAGCGGCGTATAATTTATCATTATTTTACGAACGCGAGTTAAAAATTAGTCGAACAAATCGTTTTCCTGGTTCGTTTTTGTCATTTGTTGTTATTATTACTTACTTTTAGTTTTTTGACGAGTGTAGGTCGAGCGTTATTCGCCGCTATCCGTCTTTTATATTTTTAAAATACCCGTAAATTCGTACGTTATATTATTATTATAGTGTCAACAATGTCAACCGATATCAAATATATTATTATCATAATAATAATAAAATAACGCATAGACACCGAGTGACGTGGTATATAAAGTGCAGGTTATTGGCTGAATATATTTTTTTGTCCGTATAAAAAAAGAGGTAATGACGTTGTCAATAATATACCTATTTAGGCACTTACGTGTTGTATACGATATTATAATGTTACTACAGTTGTGAGCAGACTATAAAAGGCATATAGTTCCATAAGTTGAACAGCGCTGCCCAACCAACAATTAATGTATGAGTTAGGGATAACTTATTATTGTCTATACACTATTTCAAAAACAAATTTAAATCATTTTAGCCATCTGATAGTCTTCAAATTTTATCGAAAACAATAAATTAATATTGTCAGTTTAAAACGTTTAAAAATACTCAGAGGAAATTTGATACCGCGAGCCTTGGGGATGTGTACGACACTGTATAAATAGATTATTACCTTCTTCTGGGTTGCATAAACAATTTATTAAATTTAATGGTTCACTAAAGAAAGCACCAATCGTGGGCCACTAAATATTGTTTAAGAGACCATTGGCTCACTATTGATTCATTAAATGTTTTGTGCAACCTGCCTTTGTATATGTACCTATATAATTAATATAATAATAATAAAAATAATAAATACATATCATTTTTCCAAGATATTTTGGCTTAAGTTTTAAAATTTTAAAACTATAATAACTATTTAAATTAAATATTTTATGAGACAATATAATATTTAACAACTAATAAGGTCGGATAGGGATTTGGTGCTCAAAAAGATTGCAGGGCACACCGCACCTTGCACAGAACGTGCGCTCCAATGATATATTATTTACTTCAGATGATTATTTAATATTATACCTACCTCACTACCTGTGTACCTACGTGTGCATACCTACAGTTTTCTGTTTTGAATTTCATAAAAATTTTTTGTATTTTGATTATTCTGTGAACTTATGCAAGTAATATGACTTTTTTATAAATATTTACATTTTAGTATAGTAGATTAGGTACCAAGTATATGTTATTAACTTGACCTGTTGTATTATCATATCAGTAGGTACCTTATGATAAAGTTATGTATGATGCGTTTCTACTATAATTTATGGATTATTGTTATAGCCTATTTGTATAGTATATTAGTATGCTTCATACTTATTACTCAATAAATGATTTCTACAAATTACAATGCACTGCAATTAATAGGTATAACTTATAAGTAATATATTTATGACACGATGCCGAGTGATTATCAAGTATTATTCCAAACATAAACACCGTCATTGGATTAATCGATAGGCGATATCTACTTAAATTTCATTAACTCCGTGTATCTCCGACACAGGCTACACAAAAATCATAGATTATCAAGTTACTTGTTAGTTGTTACCCTAATAATAGTTATGTGAAATTTAAAAAATATAAATATGTACATGAAGGTTGAATGTATGTAATAGGATTTTTCGATAAATACTTAAGCTCTAATTTAAAAATACTGAAACGCACAAACAGTTCAGAACTATGGAAATCTTAATAATTCTAGAAAAATTTTAGACTTGACGTTTTTTTAAAAATATTTTTAAACCGGTATTAATATAATATAAAATATAAATACAGAAAATATTATTATTTGTCTGCCTAGCTACATTATATTATGTTACTACTATTAGTTACTACTTGCAAATTAATTGTGGATTCTATAAACGACTGTATTGTTTGTATTTACTAATCACTAAGTTTATCATGACTTGCTGGTTTAGAAAACGGTTTTCGGAATCGTCACTTGTCTTCTTTTAACACACGTAACGCACCACGGACATTCAAAATATTTTCAAAGCCTGAGATAAAACAATTTAAATATATTCGAATAATAATTATTATACCCAACATATTAATTCCAATCCGTTCGTTAGTACGGACAAAGATGCAAATGTAAACTCATTTTTTAAACTGATACAAATATTTTATGTTCATAAAATACAAACGTAGGCACTATGACGTATAGGTATATATTATATGTGTTTGTAATAGGACAATTTACATTTAAAATTGCCTTCATTATATTTATCTTAAGTTATAGAAAGGCTATATAAAATGTTCTTCATTAAAAATTTTGTAAAAAAAGGTGTTGGAAAGTAGTATCTTAAGATCTTAGAAGTTTACTAATTAAATAATAACTGTCATATTATACTCTGCAATTGTAAATAAAGCATGTGAGAAAAAAGAAAGTGTTTTATTTTTTTCCTTCGTATAAGATGTTTGTTATTTGTTCAAGTCTAGAAAAAATTAGCCACTCCACGTTCATATTATAACGACTCTCGTAATCGTAACCGATCGAAGTTTCACCAAAGAGCAATGTAAATATATTTTTATAATATTTAACTGAATTCTGTTCTCAATCACAACTGTACTATTATTGTATCGCTGATTATGAAATTGACAAATGTGTTATATTTATAAGAAACAAATTTATATTTTTAATAAATAGACGATCAGTTCTTCAATCGGATAACCTTGAAAACAAATCGAAATTATCGCGGGCAAGCCATGCCATTCATACATGACCAACCAAGGTCTCGATTTCTTGACCAGTTTAACCACTTTCACGATAGCTCTAATAGGAGAAGGAAAAAAAACTAAATGTGAAAAGAAAGTATTTGGGCCACCCAAATCCTGTATTATGTATACCTCTGTTGGCTGACAACAAAAATTCCGCAAATACTAAAAAAATGAATTTGATGGAAAAATCAACATGCTTTCAAGCAAACAAAAAAAAAACCATAATTCTTTTAATTCTTCCAGTGACATTAAGTCTATTGTTTTTGGATTATTTTAAAATGTAGTCCTTTCATTCTTTATATAACAGTTTAGTTACATCAATAGTCCATACCTATAGATCATATTTTAGTGTTTTACAATTATAAACTTTTTCCGCTTTAATTTTTTGCACTTATAACGTATGTAATTAATATATAATTATATAATGTATATTCTCAAATAAAGTGAAATAATAACAAAATATTATTTTTCAGTGGCCGACGCCAGTGGACGTTACTCGTCACAGCTGTTTTTCGGTAATGACTTTTGGTTGGGATCTCATACTCTCTGCAAAGAATTACAGAACAAAGCGACCAATCAATACGTGCCACCTTTCGAAGCTAAATTCTATGTTGCGAAATTGGCGATCAAATTACATGATCAGTTGACCCCTAGAGTAAGTACTATCAGCTATGTCGTATAATAATTAACAATATATAATAATATGACAAATTATATATATTATATATGAGACAAACTAGAGAGTGCATGTGGTATCATGCATTGTAGTACAAAATTTGTACAGTTATGAGTCTATGATATTACTTATATAGTTATAACTTATATGGTACCTAAACTATATAGGTATTATATAAAGGGAACCTGATATCTGACTAACGAGTAAAACACAGATTAACGGTTGGTTTGATCTAGTGGCTGGTATAATTTAGGTACCTATATAATTATATTTTATACTGTACACGTGTGAGGTACAGTATTATGCATTATAATACGCGTTAGGACAAACGAATGAGTTAGCTGTCACTAACGTTAAATGAAAAATTATAGTACGTTACATATGGGAAAATAAAAACAAGAGTCATTATGTGATGACGATAGATAAAATATTACAGCATGAATTATTAAAAAAAATATACAAAAATGTCAAAACTCAAAGGTCATAAGGCTGTAGGCTGTCAATATTTTCAAAATGGTAGATCGTCATTTATCAGAGAAAGCACAACAATCACGAGAGTCAACTGCCTTGATAATATTTATTTCTTGGTGTCATTATAAATAATAATACATACGTCAAATTGCAATGTACACAATTTAAACTTTAATTTTTCTGAAATTTTAACTAGGTACATAATATAATACCTATATTGTAAATTTCACATTTTATTATTTTAAAATTCCAACTTTGTTTGCTATTTATGAGTAGGTATCGCGTAGTATAAACATTCGGGTGTTTATTTATTTTATTTTTTATTGACACTAAGGCTAGGCTATTGCTGGGATGTTTCTTATTGATTAGCTTGTTGACAAAATGTTTTAAATACATAATATAATATGCTCGATCCCTACTATATAATTAATGTACCTATAATAAATATTTAGATACCCAATGGCCTAATTTTCCGCTGGTTAATTAATAAAAAAAATATATATATTCAGATAAAAAAAAACCATAGCACTCTACTCCATATTTTTCTTCTGCAAGGAAAATCTATGAATCATAATTAATATGTTTTTGTTAATAAGTAACCATTACAACGAAAACCTTCGAAAAAATTTGTCAGAAACATAAGCCAGGTAACCATTTCAAAAAACAGATTTAGTTAAAATAGGTAGGTATGATATTAATGATGGATATATTTTGTGAAAAATAAAATATGTCAGGGCGTTTTAATATTAAACAATATTGTATGTTTTGATAAATATTTAATGCATTTACATACATGGTCCTATAAAAAATTATTTCTGTTATAGACTAGATTGATTTCACTTGGTCTATGTATACCAAAAGATTGCAGTTCTACAGAAGTGCAAAATATGGTTAGTGTTCCCAAGGAAGATAGTGAATCTAATTATCGAAGTTATAGCGTACTCAATGTCAGATCTGTGCCTGGTACATACACTCTGTGGTCGGATAGTAAATTTCATATATTATTGTAAGTAAATATAGTTAGTTTAGTAAATTTAAAAAATATATTTTGATACTCACTTGAAAAAACACTTGATATAATATTAATTTTGATAATATTGATTGAAATATTTTACATTATTTGTAATAGTATGTTTTTTTTATGGGTTTCAGGATTGTTGTTGGGCTGGTAACTATATTGACAATTGTGGGATCAGGATATGAAATGATATTGGAGGGTCGAAAAGCTAGACAATTCAAAAAAAGACAATAGTTCAAGGTACAATAACGAAAGCGATTCAAAAGTAGAATTTACATTGGATAAAATGCAAGCAATTGAAAAGATGCAAAATATGAAGGGTTGTGGAAATGATAACGGAAACTTAGACGAACCAGACATGTTATTCGAAGGTAATATATCATAAAAAAATATTACGTTTTTAATAAATTAAAAATTAATATTTGATGAAAATAGTTCAATGATTTTTTTTCTTACCCATTTGAAAATTCTATTTAATTTTAACATACATTTGCTATATTGCGCGTGGGTCAGAGATGAAATAGTGAGCTAGAATCTTCTTTTCAAATGTTTTTAATAACTAATTATTCAATTATAAATATTTTTGTTGTTTCAATAAATTGTCCTTCAAAATGATATTTATTATTCTTCAAACAGATTTCCTACACTTTGTCATTCTCGCAATAAGTAATTTAAATGTTAATTTATTGTTGTACCTATTCAATTTTGTTATTCTTTTTTTTATTTTGTTGTGTCAGTTTTTGATAATTAATATTCAATAACAGGCTACCAGCATTAGTAATTGAATATACAATGCCACAATGGATCAATTTACTTAGATGTATTGTGGCCTATGGTAAAATATATGAATATAATACGATTATTACAATAATGTTAAAAACCTTATTTGTGAATCTTTTAAAAACTTTTAAAAAAAAAAGTTAAAGTTGACCTTTTTTTTCTGTAGGTACTTATATCGTACTTGTACTTGTATCTTTGACCAAACAAATCCATACATATATTATGGTGAAAATATATTAAATTTAATAATTAATTTAATAACCTACACCATATTAAGTAAAAAATAATGTTCTTTGATTAACATTTAAAATTTTTCGCTGGGGCCCTATTTCTACTATATTTGGGTACGACAAGTTGGTACCTAATTCCATTGTACATGTAATAAACATAAATGTTGGCTGGTGTAGATTTATAATCGTATTGACTATGTATTGATTAGCTTGCATTCTAAATTAAATAACATTTTTCTATAGCTACCTATATTTAATACATTTTATCATTTATGCCACATGTTCTTATTTGCATAGTCAGTCGCAACGAACAAATTCTATTGGCTTTTTCGGCTGTAAGTAACGGTCGAAAAATTTTACACTGTGGACCCGCTCCATCTGAATCACTAACTTGTGTGCACGGACTTCGATTTTTAAGTTTGGCTTGGGTTATAATGGTACACACGTACTTGCAAGTATTTTCAATCGCAGGTGAGTTTAATGGTTTTATATATGCATGATAAATGAATTTAGATTATGATAACGAAAGCTAATGAATAATAATATATTTTTCTTTGATATGTGCGTAGAAAACAAGATGTTACGGACATTAACCGAAAGGAACTTTATGTTCCAAACAGTGAGCAACGCAACGTTTTCCGTGGATACTTTCTTTTTTATCAGGTAAAATAATTAGCGATTGTAAACATTATATGATAATTTCTATTTAACGTTGTCCACATTTGCAGTGGTCTATTGGTTACGTATTTGTATTATAAAACAACCAACAAAAAGACGACCAGAAGTAGCCGTATCTCGAACACCGAAATGTAGTTCTTCCATTCTGAGAAACGATACAATTAAATTTTTCAAATTGCTGGGATATAGATTTATCAGGTAAAAATATAATATATAAAATATATTATGAATGCATTTTTTACACAGTACATAAGTTATATTATTAAAATATGATAATTTAATCTTGAATAATTTAAACTATATAAGTTCCTATATATTATATTTTAAACTTTATAAGTTGAAACTTTCAGTATTCGAAAATGAAGAAAAAAATGTCTATTAAAAATAATAAACACATTTTTTTTTGCACCACAAAATTTCTCTTTAAGGTCAATCCGAGGAGCGAATACTACATTATAAATTTGACTGTTGCATATTTATTATTGAATTCGACACAACCAGTTTACTATGTTTAGGTACTGTTAGTTGTAACCAAATTGTATAGTCAACTTATAACCCCATGTCTTATTGTTACTTACTCATTATTATGATATTGATATTCAAAATTAGAAATTACACGTTCATTTCTGTAGTAGTAAATTATCAGATTACCGTTATATATATGTTGATTGATTTTATTTAGTCAATTAATACAACAATTTTTATTACAGAACATATTAGTACAATTACAATACATTTTTCATAAATGTAATAAAAAAAATATTTTACATTCAACTTGAACTACTACGGTTAAAAATAATCGGGCATAGCAGAAACCTACGGGTGCCCAATTAGAAATTCTGCCAAATAGACATCCGAACTAAGCCTTAGGGCCTACTTCTGGACATATAAAGCACCATACGCAAAAAAAAGGTAAATATAATCGACTAAATTAAAATCATGCATTATATATGTACCGATTATCCAACTGGACCAGGTCAGTCAACGACTATTTTCAATCATTGCATACACAAATTTCGTAAAATGAAATAAAACATTGCCATTACAAAATATTATGTATTCACCGCTAGGTATAAAAAAACTATTAATTAGACGTTCAACACAAATTGTATAGTAATTATAGTTACAATATTACATAGGTTAATAGCGTTGAAGCGAATTATACACCTTGCTGTCCATTCTTTATGATTATAATGATATTATGCTCGTATCGCTATTTATACAATTTAACTCATACATGACCCTATAGTCCGGTGAATATTGCATTTGAAGTACATAATATACCGAATTATGTGTAATCGCCAATTATTGGTGCACAGTTATAAGTACATATATATCGTAATACTCTTATAATTTCGTTAGATTTTATTTTAATGGCCCACAAAATACAAAATACGCATGATAAATTAATGACAGGAAATGATATCGCGTAACAGGTACGTCTGATAACTATAATTTCGGTTTTGCTATATATATATTTCGTTAGAAGCACACATGACCGTTAATATTAGATTTAAACGTCGCAATCAATCAGTATAATAATATGTGTGCTGCCGTACTTGCAGCAGCAAACTTGGATGGTAACTCTTGTCTAATCGGAAAAGTATTCTGCAAAGACCTACTTTTACTCTTATGTATAGTCTGTATACATCGATGCACGACGAGTTCAAGTACGTTCAAGTTATTTTTGTGATATTTTTTCTCTTTCGTACATCTCTTTCTTATATATTATAATATATGATATTGCGTAAAAATATCGACAAGTATATAATATGTGCAAGAATATTATACCTACCTATAAGAAGGCACAATATAAACGATTCACACACTGCACGTGTCTAATGTACGACACGCGGTATAGATACGCAGTCCGCTAAAACTGGAAAATTATTTATTCTCCTCTGATAGCTACATTAATATTTAGGTTGTGTCGTACCTACTGTGTATACAAAGTTAATCAAAATTGATTTGAGTTTTCTAGTTTGGTGTAGGCTGCGCAGGCTTACTCGTAGTCCTTCCCTAGTATAACCCAATATTATAAATAAATGCATTTTATGTCCAAATTATTTTAATACATTAATATGGCTGTAGTGTAATAGCAGTAGATATCAAAACTAATTTATTATTACGATATGCGTTTCTTAGTGGTCATAAATTATATACACAGAATTATATTACATGTATGATATTATAATAAAATATTTATCGCAAAGACAATCGGGAGTAATGAGTTTTTTATTAATGTTTTTATAAAAATAAATTAAACGTGTTTTGCTAATACTGTATAATATTATTATATTTCTTCCATTCTTCGACGGTTGTTAAAAAGAAAGAAAAAAGTGTTTGATAATTAAAATTAATATTGTAGTGAAAGTAGATAATATTTTAATCACATTTTGTGTACGCATAATATTCCCGTTCGCATAAACTGTTATAAAACACAATTAAACGTAAATAATATTTTCTATTGTTTTGAAATCTATACGTTGTAACTAGAAAAACGATACCATCAAAGTATCTTTATTGAACAAACTCACAATTGTTATCATGGTGTGTTACTATGTGTTCATTAATATTGTGTATTTCGTGTGCAGCGTGTATCATAATTAATAACAATATAATATAATATAAACATTTATAATTAAATTGTCAGTACGAACTGTAACACGTTTTGGCATTAATCATAGTATAATGGTCAATGGATATTTGGTATTCCGAGTTACGACTACTGACTAGGGAGGGTACCAATATTATACGCATACTATTAAGAAATGAGTTACGAAAAAAAAATAATAATAATCCTTGTTTTTGGTTATCACTTTTTATTTTTCAAATTTGAATGGTCAAGTTGCTGTATGATAGAATGATAAAACAAAATCAATAATGGTTAAAATTTAAAAATCTTGATATGAAATTTTCAAAAATATTTTAATAATAAACCCACCAATTTGTTATGTAAAATTAAACCGTTCCTACTCTAATCAGTAATTAATGCTAATATAATTAGCAAGTTAATACCTTGAATAAGTAGAAATACTCTAATTTTACTAAAATTCGTCTAACTAAAATAAACAAGTAAATAAATAATATGCGTTATCATATTGTTTCATATTTACCTAATGTCTCATGACTTTGAGGCATTTGGAAATGTTAAAGACAAATGCTCCTTTATAAGTAAATATTTTATCTGTGCCTACCTGCGTGAACAATTTTCATAAATTTACATAATAGGTATATGTTTGAAGTAGCGCATTGCATAGCACTATAGCACAGTCATAAGTTTTCGTGTAATTTTTATTTTGGTTATTTTCTTTAATCATCATTTTTCACACGCATATTTTATGTGGTGGTCCGGTGTTCGTAAATTCGAATTTTGTAGTACACGTGTGAAAGTTTAGGACCACTTTCGTTTTTTATTTCGAAAACATTTCAGACAAAAGAGGAGTAAACCACTATAAACGTCTTTATTATATGGTCGTGGAGAAATAAATGATGATACACAGATACCAAAGTGGTCTTTATATTAATCGTTTCCCCATTTTCTTTTCTCGTTAAAAAAAAATTATCAGTTATTACGTATTACTAATAATTATCGAATTTAACTATTTCACTTATTTTCAAAATAATCCCATTATTTAACATTATTCTTAATACTTTAACCCATTTAACTTTTAATTTTTTATTAGACTCGGTAAAAGTGCTTCACTACTCATTAGTTTCATTTCAACATCGAACTTCGGTAATAATATAACATTACGGGTTAGGATCTTTTCATATTAAATTTGATCATCTTCCGAAATTGATAATTAGTATAATATATTCGTATAGTTGACCGTTTAAAATGTGTTATTTTAACTATGTTTGACATGCATGAAATAAATTAAATTCTGATCATGTATGTGTAAACATTGTAATGTACCTACATACTAATTTTGTAGATTAACGCCAGCGTACATGGTCGTCCTTTTAATGGCGGAAGTGTCTAGCCGATGGCTTCGAAACAATTCCGTATTTGAACCAGAGAACAACAACCATATTAGTTGCGCTGATTATTGGTGGAGAAATATGCTATACATAAACAGCTTGTATCCCAGAAATGAAATGGTGATTATCAATTTATTATTTATCTATTCATTGGGCATAAGTAGTTTCAAATATTTTATGTTTTTTACAGTGCATGTTGTGGAGTTGGTATATGTCCAACGATACGCAATTCTATGTTTTAGCAGTCATACTACTTCTCGTTTCTGCCAGGTAAATAATTAATCATTGACCTCAAAAATACTTTAACTATATCATGTATTGTAATTGTAGTTTAATATATTATATGGCCATAAAGGTACCATTGAATTAAAAATTCATTGTCAAATATTGAGCCCTAAAGAGAATTTCAATGGTTACGTAGAACATGAATGCATGTACGACTAAAAGTATACAAGAGACATTTTGTTTCTATTGATAGATGAATAGAAACGGAATAAAATTGCAAAATTTTATCATTGACAAGTCACTTATTATTTTTTCAATGACCGATTTTACTCTAGGCATTTCAAAGGAGCCGTTATTGGATTGGTGGCGTTCTTAATCGGATCATGGGTCGTCACAATATTCGTTGCAGTGCATTACAATTTTAGAGCAAGGTAAAGCGTTACAAAATAAAAAATGTCAATAAAGCAATTTTTCGCTGGGTCAAAGAGCTTGAAAATGTATTACATAAAAGGTTCCTCAAAATGTATCATTAAACAAATAATAAAGATACATAATATACACTGTAGATACAAAATTTCTTAGAAATCAATTGAATCCAAATATATAAAAAAATTCATCAAAATTAGAAACGTTAGAAATCATTTTGTAGTTAAAAATCTATAAAATGTTCAATTTTATAGCTAAAAACTGAAATTTTAAAACAAAGTTTATCATAAGTCATAACTAATCCATACAGTAAACAAAAAAATATAAAAATACATAATCACAGTTCAAATTCAGATGAAATTAGATATTAAAAATAAGAATAACGATTTTAGTTATGTTGTTGAAATTAAAAAATATAGTTTATGAGTACTTTAAACTTTTAAAGTTTATTATTATACTTTATACACACAATGACATTTTAAATGCAATGTTTGCGCCAAAAATTATTTCAACATACATTACCTACTGTAATTGTAAAATAAATTACTTTAATAGGTACTAATAATACCATAATAATATATACTTTGTAATATAGGCTGACAGACCGTTTTCGCTTAGAAAACATTTTTTCGTATACAATTATATTATAGGTAACATTGAATTCAGATTTATCACATCCATTAAAGTGACCTACTCAACACCTACCATACAGCAGAGTGGGGAACCACTTGCCCACATTTTTTTAAAATTTGATTTAGCTATAAATGTGGTTCAACATAGCTATGTTTTTCATTATAGGTTGACAGTTACAACATAATATAGAAAACAATTAGTCAATATTATATTATATTATATATTTTTTTAATATTATATTAAACGATTTTTTAAAATTTTGTAATTACAATTTATAATATTAATAATAGTATGTATTTATATTTTTAAAGGATAGAGGAACCATTTGGACTATTTGATCAGCTTTATGATAAACCGTGGTCAAGACTTGGACCTTATTTATTCGGCATGTTCGCTGGATGGTTTTTGTTTGTTACTAAATGCAAAGTGAAAATGTCCTTCGTAAGTATAATTCTATTATTATAAAAACTTAAATATACATCTAACTTAAAATAAATTATAATTAGATTTCTATTTTATTATAATGTATTTTTTATTTATTTTTTCAAAAAGTAGGAAAATGGGTATAAGTAGTTGATGAGCCGTACCATAGTTATATTTTCATTGAATGTTATAATTAGTAGCAGTGAAACGAATAAATTGTTTATTTAAAAAAATACCCAAAGTTTAATTATTTATAATTGAATTAAAATGTATAATTTTGGACATTCGCTTATTATAATGAGTTTTTAAATAATTAATTATAACTATAATCCTCTTAACGCATCCAGTTTGCCAGTTACTGTTTTACTTTATTTCAATTTTAAATAATGCATTTTTTTGTAAAATATTTAATTATAAAAATTAATGTATAACATAATTCTAAATACTTAAACTAATTTTCGAGAATTTACGAGCACACTGATAATATATTAGTCATATTATGTTATTATGTTCAGAAGCTAAAATAAGTAAACCATATTAATTAACAGTACATTACACTATTTTACGAAACTGTAATGTAGGTAAATTAAATTTGATATTAATTAAGTTATCATTAAAATAAGTGCCTGTTTCCAACCTAAAATTTTTAACGGCGTGGAGTTCTAGTGAATTAATTAATATTTATATTTGTGCGATTGATTGTTTGAGTAAGTATGCTTTGAAAATCATAACGTTTCTTTGTTCATTACAAAAACATAAAACAAGTACGGGCAGTGACATAGTATACTGTATACAGTATATAGTTATTATACAAAAGTTATAAAACAAAATATATTAAACATAAATTATTTCATGAGCGGTAGACTCTAACTGTCACTTCGTGCATATACTCGAACAGATCAAAAGTAAACCGATTACCGATACGACCTTTCGTCCATATCTATATAGGTACCTACTTAGTCTTATAATTTTTTTTGAAATTTTTATGATTAATAAATCGTTGTTTATGCGTGGATAGGCAAATAAAGGAAACTCAACAACAATTATTGTGATTTCTCGTTATAAATTATAATGGTACACATTGCAGTTGTTGGTTGTCATTAATACGTAATTTATTAAGCAAATCTAATAACTATCTTTTTCCGATCACTATTGTCTATTGACATTAATAAATATTATATTACGATGATCTGCTCTGCTCTGCGATGTATCATATTGACCATATACACTATTGTACTATACAGTATAGTGCGCATAGTACTTATTTATTTTACGAATATCGAATTATAATAAATGTTTTTAATGGCGTATACCGACAAAAGTTTTGGTTTTTTTTTTATCGGAGACAGATCCCCAGATCCCACTGTGGAAAAAACTTAACCTATTTTACCAATGCGTAAAAAAATTGTTGCTTTGAAGAGATTATGATGCCCTAAAAAATATCATTACTCATTAGTGTATCAAAAAAAAATTTCGTTGGTCAAAATATTATAGTTGTCGTTCTACATTTAATGTATACCGAGGTAATTGATTATTAATTTCATCGCATATCATGTTGGACCTGTGATCCAAATAGTACGTAATCCCCTATGCCTCCAACAAAATCTTATAGGAAATAGATAAACCAATTCAACGCAATAATTATTATTGACAAATGAAATAAATAAACGACGGTTTGAATGAATAAAGGCGTTAAGTGATATCAGTTGAGTAGCCAGGGGGGGGGGGTGTTTTTGGCATTTTGCTATAGTGTGTATTACACTATAGTCTATAAAACTGACTATCAATAAATATAAATTTCAAAAAACGACACTAATACTTTAAGTCACTCGTAAACTTTTAAAACAATATTTTAGTATCGTTTGTGCACATGTATCGTATATAATATAATATCTTTTATCCTTTTACAATATCGTTTCGGCATTTCACAGCTAACTGTCGTGCTGGGCTGGTCCATGTCACTGTTCAGCCTGGCGTACCTAGTGTACGGGCTTCACGTGGTGCACTTAGACCTGGCTGGTTCCGCCCTGTATGCATCCGTCGGCCATTCAGCCTGGGGCGCCGCACTCGCCTGGATCGTGATCGCCTGCTGTACCGGTCACGGGGGATGTGTCAACTCGGCGCTGTCGTGCCGCCTGCTCCAACCCCTCAGCCGTCTCACGTACTGCGCCTACCTGGTCCACCCCATCATCATGACCATGACCAACTTCCAAATGGACGGCCCTCTGCACCTCCACAATCTGATCACGGTAAGTGCGGTGAACAACATAATTATATAACCCTGCAGTGTTATATTAATATAATATTTTCGTACGAGACAGTAGTTTCCGAGTTTTTAAGATCTATTCTCACTAATTCAGGAAACGCTTCAAATTAATTATTATTATTATTGTTGCACAAAAGCATAATAATACGTCGGTTCACTTTTTTCTTTTTTAAACGACATACCAATTATTATTACGACGACGATGATTACAATCTTGCACGTATAGGTACTTTCACTGGAATCAAGAGACAAGATGTTATTTAATTTTTGTGACTAACTCCAAACGTATAACTGCAGTAGGTACATCATATTATTATTACACATAACAACATAAGTATAGTACTGCGTAATACGGGCGATCAAAGAAAGTGCAATACGTTTCACGGTGTGCTGGTGAATAAGAGATTTTACATCGTTGAAGTGTCATTTTTCCCGCGAACACTAACGAAAGGCTATTTATGAATTCTGAATAAAAACGGAAATATAATACCTATAGATATCACACAGGTGACTAGGTGAGTCTTGGATGCAATTTATTATTCAGAATAGTTGTAATTGAGGTTGTATACTTGTGTGTGTGTGTGTGTGTGTGTGTGTGTGTGTGTGTGTGTGTGTGTGTGCTCACGCGTACGCCGTATAGGTGCAGGTAAATTTAATTGTCATGACGTATAAATGATTTAGTACGTAGAAAATCATAAAGGAAATAAGTATAGTAATATTGTTTATTGTTTTTACAAAACATTATTGGTGACAATTGATTTGTGATTGATAATAATTATAAATGTTATTATCAGACATGTCTAACATATAACATCAATTAAAAAACAAATATTTTATTACTAAAAAGGTATATATGTGTCAGTAGAGAAAGTAACAATGATTTATTATTACACGTTCGTTTATACAACTAATCGTTAAAAGCCGTGAACCTAAAATAAACAATATTGTAACGTAACGTATTTTGTTACGCCTCAGTTGAAAATGTAATATTCAATGTCAGTTGAAGTGTTGGAAAATTACATTTTTTAGTCTAGTGGAAATCCCGAAGTTATCGTCCCAATTAGATTAATATTTAATATAATATATGAAAGTATTGATACGTTTTGTCTAATATATCAAATACTAGCTATATAGTAGGTAGGTTACACATACAACTGCTCCATAAAAATGTTGATAAATTTAAATATCGATAACAGTTTATTGTAAATAACTACTGAGGCTTCACAAAAAAGCATGTGTGGGAACTGGGAAAGCTATTTCATTTTTGGGTGAAATGCAGCTCTCACCTGTGGCTTGTGCTGGAAACGTTGTCTGGGACTGTAAAAATAACTCACTTGCCGCCCTTGCAACATAATATTACTATCAATTAATCCGAATAAAGTTTATATTTTAGTCGTAACCGTTTGAGGATGAGACATAAAAATACACTTTTAACTGACTAATGAGTGTTTACTAATTACATTTATACGAATGTGTTTTTCAGATGATATTGTACTTCGGTAATGCAGTAGCGTCTTTCTTGTTGTCCTTCTTCATTTCCCTTACATTTGAAGCACCCGTGGTGAACCTGCTCAAAATTATGTTATCACCACCGCAGGTGAAGAAAACCTCGATGGAAAAAAACAGTTCCGAACTACAAGACTCGTAACACTCAAAACTGTTATTATTATATTATATATTTAATAATAGCAATAGAAATAATAAATCGATAAAGATGTTTATGTATAGTTTATATTAAATTATTTTCTAATATTAATAATGGTATTTTAATGTAAATTATAAATGTTTTCCAATAAAATTGTTAAATGTTTTTTTCTACCCACCAAAACTCTTCTATAATTCCTTGTCTTATAATATTTATATTAATACATTATTAAACAATTTTACTAGATATACCTAAGGCTGGACACTGACTACGTCAATGTTCAAAAAAAGTCCTAATATTGTTATATAATAAATTCGTCATTTTTGTAAATTGTCGTTAGAGTAGTTGAGTCATTAGAGTAGGGATAAATAAAAATATAATGGACACCACAAAGAGTATTCATGAAACAAAGACGTTTGTCGTAGTATTCTACGAGTAAAGATATAATTTGAATGTAGGAGAATAAAAATAAATTTATAAAAAATTGAATAATATTTAAATTCATCAAATAATAAAGGATTTTTAATATTTTAATGGTAATTTCTAATTGAGGGTCGAATAATTTTGAATTGAAAACAAATATAATTTTTAAAATATCAAACCAATGAATTGCCAAGCCACCAACATCATTCTTTATTGATGACATATACAATATTATAAACTATAATTCTTCTTAAACCATAAAACCTATTGATAGAGATAAACAATTAGGAAATTCTTAAATTCTTTATAAATCTTATAATAATACTGTATTGTTTTCATAGATTTCTAAAACACAACTATATGTTTTGTACATTTTAACATTTAATTTAATTTACAGTAGATAAGTTTACATTTATTAAATATTATATTTTAATATCGCGGTATTTCGAATTAAATAATAATATTAAAAGCATGCGTTGTCTCCGTCTTACAAATGTACAACATAACAAAAAACTGGTTTGCGCGGGATAGAACCAATCCCTCGGTATTTACAGTAGAATGACCAAAATTCCACAAAGCATAGGGAACGAGTTTATCTATGTCGTAGTGTTTTTATTATTTGGATAACATAAATAAAATTAAAGTTATCGGTTTGAGAACATTAGGATTGTTTTTTGTTTTCTTCATTTAATTATTAAAAATTATTGCTAAATGCTATAAAAAAAAAATAAAAAGGTTACGTCACAGATTAAGTTGTTTCAAATGTCTTGTGGAATTTTGGTAATTCTATTATAAATACCGAGGGAATGGTTCTATCCAGCGCAAAACAGTCTTTTGGTATGTTGTACATTGTAAGACGGAGACGACGCATGCGGGTATAGCGCCCTCTTAACGCATATTAGTTTATGTGATACATTGTATCAAGATTGCATATATAACGCGCCGTGTTAAAAAAATATACACAATAATATAATTATTATAATTTTTTTTTTAGTGATTAAACATGAAATATTTTGATTTTTCAACCTAAGTACACATTTTTGTTTTCATATATCCTATTATTTATTTATATAGTTTTCATCAGATAATTTACAGTTAAAAAATGATGGGTACATTTAAGTAAAATTCATTAAATTTATACATTTTTGGAATAATTTGATTTTTTGATTATTTTTATCCACCTAATCCTTTTCCTTAAATTGTTCAATTGTTCATTCCGATATTAATTAAAGGTTAATTAATTTTAATTTGATTTTTAAATATATTTAAATGGTAAAATTTGCAGCATTGCTGATAATATTTATTATAACTGATAATAACAATATATAGTTATAATTACTGAACTATAGGAAGTAAATATTGGAAGATAATAAAAAAAATAAAAGTAAAAATAACCACGATTTTAAATAAATGAACAAGTAAAAATAAACTATATAAATACAGTTAGTATAGATGTATAAAAATAAAAATACTAAATTTAGGTGTTCAAAAACCCGTGGAAAAAGTAGCGATTATCACAATATCACATGTATTAAATACATTGCTTTTAAAATGTGTATAAAGACTAAATAAAGAGGGTATGTATGAGTAGTCTTAAGTCTTAAAAACTACCGACCGAAATTGTGCTATAAGTTGGTACTTATTATATAGTTATTACGCTTTTAAAATCAATTAAAATGAGGTCACTCAATTTAAACAATAATAAAAAAAAATTTACCCAGTAAAAAATCTCCTTATCTATAGCTGTTTACTTAAATTTAATTTTACCTAGACAATTTTCCGGGTAAATTTACCAAACTCACATATTAGCTATTTATTAGAATAGTTAGTATTAATATGTAAATTAAATTAATTTGATAATATTGTATTTTATGTTGGTTATAAGTTATAACACATAAACAAAAATGTCATCATAACAGTACGAATGAGTGAAACTATACAATAAACGTCTTACATAGTTACATTTTTCTATTTCCACAATAATTTTAATTCAAAATGTCAAATTACATGAGATATTGAGACTCTTCTAACACATTTTCTGAGAATCATTTTATGGTCCAGTAGCTGATTTTACAACAATGTGGGTTTTTCCTTTTGAGTCTGCATACACGATATACCTATACTGGAAAGAATTATTCAATCTTCAACTCTGAGGGTGGTAAATGTAATATGCATGATGAATGATGATACATGTTATAATATGAATCAAATGATTTGTATATAATACATGGTATTTTCTTCCTATTAACTTTACTAGGATTTGCTAGGTTTAGTATTATAATATGAACATTGGGTACCTACCTATATTTTTATATCGGTAGGAATACGAATTTTGACACAGTAAAACATTAGATTTTGTGTAATGGTCCAAGACAATTATAGCACTGGGGGACGAGGTGGCCGAGCGGTCGGACACGTCCTCTGCGGCGCTGGCGGTCGCGGGTTCGATCCTCTCGACCACTGGGCGGTATTTTTCTCCGGGCAAGTCACGGTGTCCGGAGAACAAGTGCCGCCATCTCCCACTCCGGGGCATGGCAGAAACCTACGGGTGCCCCATTCAAAATTCTGCCAAACCCAACACACACGTGTTCCTCCCCCTACCAACATAAAAACCTACAAAAAAACCATACAGCTAATGGCCATAGTTGCCGGGCTTAAGATCAATTAAAAAAAAAAAAAATTATAGCACTTTAGTAATTCAATTATGATTTTCCAATGTCCGATCAGGTCGATAAAAAAAAATAATCAATACTTATAATATTCTTCATACAACTATAACTAAAATTAAAAATAATAAAAATGAATACATTTGGTAGATAAGTAGATCTGCAAGTACAAGTTTTATTTTTGTCAAAAACGATTCAAGAACACCATAAAATATTTTTAATTAATATATATATATTTTTAATTATTACAATATGAGATTGAAGTATTTGGATTATAAATACATGGATTATTTATGTCGCATATAAAAATTTTTATTTATGTGCTTGTAAAATTAAAATATAACAATAATTATAATTTAAACAATATTAAATTATGTTGTATTAAGGATGATTGAGCAATTAAAACAAATAGATTGTATAATATATATAAACATTATATTACTGCTTTAATTCAAAATATTGCACTTACTTTTCAATAGGTAGGCTCTTAACTTCTAAATTAACGAGATTGTTATTATCTAACTATATGTAAAAATCTTAAAGGTTATACTAAATATATATTTTAAAGTTTAAACAATAAAATATGTACTTAAAATCGTATGAAAATGCTATGATAATATTTATAACCTAATATTCTTCAATAATCTAAAACATGTATTTCACATTTTACCTTATACAACTAATTAGCTTATAAACATTCGAATATTATGATTATAGATTATACGTATCTAATCTAAATTTTACCTTTGGAGAAAATTGTAAAAGAGAAATGCTTGGCGTTCCGTCTAAGGTTATGCATATTAAAAATAATTCTAAGCCAAAATACATAATATTAAATGCTTACAGAGATGCTATTCAGTCAAGCGGTAATCAATATTGTACTTATTAACCAATATACCAATGTACTATATTATATTTTAAAACTATGTTTAACTGTTTGATAAACAAATAAAATTATATTCGGTAATCACCGTTTTATACTTTGTAGGCAAACGGTCTCGATGAAACGACACTATATGTTTCAAACTTTCGGTGTGTTTTTTCTTTAAATAAACAATACGAGTAAACTATATAATAATATAATGGAATATATAAATTTGAAACGCCAATGCCTAAAAGTAACCCTAATATCATAATAATAATAAATTATCATATAAAGTAGATGTATTCTACGTGATCAGTCTAATAGAGTCCCGATGGGAAATCTGAGAGCTTCCCCGTGGAAACAGACATGTTAATGTGCTGTAGCGCTTTCAAGCCGTTCGAACTACCACCTGTACTCAGCTTGCACTTAGGACTTGAGTCTTTTCCGGCGGCGGCGGTGGTGTCCTTATAGCCGGAATACAATCCTGCGTTGTTGTGGCCCCTGGTCATGAAAACCTTGGGTTCCTTGGTGACCCTGCAGCCCATTGGTAAGTACACGGACCTTTCAGACTTGCAGTGGTCGAATCTCATGACGGGTATCCTTGAGTCATTGACGTTCCTGGTGCTCACTGACCTCGTTACTGGTCTATTGTTGGCATACATCGAGTTTTCCGCCTCAGGCGCGTTACCGAAAACGTTGTATATCGATTTTCGTCTGCCTCCGTCTTTGATTTTCTCTTCGTCCTCCACGCGGTGACTGTTCAGCGCCAGGTCCGAAAATCGTTTTATCTGTTTCTGGACCGAATGAAACGTTTCGCTCCGTTTTATTTTGGACTTAACGTCATCATCATCATCTTCGTAAGCGCACTCGGAGTCGATGCTCTCTTCGTCGTCCTCGAAAAACGGGTTGACTTCAAAGTTTTTATTCATGAATAGGCTCCTGGACCGCCTCGGTGGTTCGGGCACGATTCTGGTAGGAATGATGACCACATCATCTGTGTCAGAATACTCGTAATACCGTTTGGAGTTGTCACTGCTTACCGAAGACATCTTCCGTCCATCACCAGATTCGGTGGACGCATCGTTTATAACCTTGTCGAAGTCTTCGAGCACTTCCTCGATGGTCGTGTCACCTTGTGATACACTGTATATTTTGTAGGGAACCTTTACTTTCTTTGCCGTCACTTCCTCTTCGCAGTCATCTTGTTCGGAAGAACTGATACCTTCGTCTTCAGCAGAATTGCCTCCGCCTTCAATTTTATTTTTTTGTGAGCTGTCTACGTGGTCTTTGCGTGAAGAAATTACACGTTTCTCTTCTTGGAGAATCTAAACATCAACAATAAAATAATTTGTCAATTAATATATTTATCAATCGAATGACATCAAACAAGGTTGAATGTTTTACTCACGTGAATTTTTTTTTCTAGCATGGTTACTTTCTCTCTAAGAGACTTAGCTTCTCTGATTACCTCGTCGTGCTGTCTTTTCAGTGACTCAACATTTATGAAATTTTTCTGCCACCTGTATATCTCATCAGAGACGGAGCTCAATAGTGGAGATTTGTTGGAAATATTCTGAAACCACGACAGTGTCATTTAAGGCAATTCATTTTTTTAAATATGCATCTTACTTTTAATATAGCTGCAGGTTTGAAACCAGCTTGTTTGAGTTCGGCTTGCACATAAAACTTTGTCTGAAGATCCGGACACGTTTCAGTGAAGGCGTTTATAAACTTTAAACCAGCCAACAGCAGTTCCATACCGGAACTGCCGCTACCGGACATCATTCCCACTAAAAATCTAAACCTGACGGGCTCAGCAAATCTAAGTCGCATCGTACTCATCGCATCCGAAACCGTGTTGTGTCCATCTACCGTACCCGATTCACAGCATGCCTTGGTTAGTAACTATAAACACAAAAAAGGAAATCAGTTATCAAAAAAATTTTTGAATCGTACGTTTTACTTTGAGAATATCATCAAATATTTATCGATATTAGTTATAATATGATATCGATATAGTGTAATATTCAAGCTAATTATTTTATACTTGTATTTTTTAAGTAACCGCATACAATATTAAACTAAAACACGGTAACTGACGAATGATTCGATGAATATAATTATTGATACGTCTGATTTCAAACGGTATACAAACCTCCAGAGTCAATAAACGAGATTGATTGACAGTGCTCATGATGCACGCGGCAAGCGTGTACAATCCGGCAGGAGATATCGCCAACTTCCTAGCCGCATCCTGACAGCGCATGCAATACTTCAAACATTGCAGGCACGCGTTTTCGTCTAATGTGATACGGCGCTGGTTTGCTGGCGTGCACTTTGTTTGCGTGCCGTTTTGTTGGATCGTTTTCAGGAGTTCCAGCAACAGCGTGACTCCGTCTATTGGGTCACCGACGAATTCTTGTACGAAGCTACAGGTGGACAGAAGGAAAAAACCAAACACACAATAATTATACATAAGTTAGTTATCTTCTACCGAATAGCTTTTTTTATTTTAAATTAATAGTCTAAAACCGTTGACCCAATATGGACGGCTCGATGGTTATTGGTACCTATCTATATCTGCTACAGTGAGGACACTGCAGCAGGCTGCAGTTCTAACTTATATCCCGCAAGGTCAGAGCACGTAATCCTGTATATATCGCAAGCGAATCAATTATGCTAGACTATAGGTATTCCGAATATTATCAATTTATTTTTTCATACATACACGTACAACGTATCTATACACTACCTAATACCTATTACACACATATATATATATATATATATTATGTGTTATACTAACCGGCTGATAAACAATTTATTATTACCTTTTATGTTACATTTTCATCTCGTTCCCGCTTGAAATAAATGACCGGTACCGGTTTTAGTGGTTAATTAATACCGGCAGTATTATAACCGTTATTCCTCGGATAAGCCGGTTGGGTTATTTATTTTTATTTTTTATTTTACGCGCACTCATACACTAGGGCATTGGGACTCTGTATTACGTTATAATTTTTTTCTGTCAGTGTCAAACAAGAATGGCGAATAACCACTATAATTAAATTTAACGTATTGATTTTAACAACCGATAACATCTCTTTATTCTAATGACCTACAAACAAAATCATATTTTCGTGTTTACAACAGTTTAATTTGCAGCCTGCAACTCGGGCGTAATAAATCGTAGCCGATTCATAAAATATGTACCTACCTCTTTTATTTTTATCACATTTGGAAACTATATTATTCATGACATCTGTATTAGGCATCGTTAGGCTTTTTTAAGTCTCTCAAAACTTATATTTTGATTTACTACTTAATACTTACAGAATAATTATGATTCAAAAGTGATGTGCCAATTTATATTTTAGTTAAATTACAATGTATTTGTTTTATCAAACATTTAAAAATTATTATATCTACCTACTTTTTTTACTCGATACAACTCACAATTCATTAAAAGAAATTAAACAATAAACGTAGGTAAATTAAAACTATAGGAAATCTAATTTATCAATCAATTTTGAAATAATTACTAACTCTATTATAGTATCTGTTAACGATTGGAACATTATTTTTTACTGTCTAGTACAAGAGTACAGGATGTAGCGATTGTAAATTAATTTTACCATTTGTATTTATGACGAATACAATCATTCCTTTTTTGGTAGGTAATTTTCTAGCAAATGCAATAGATGACTTATAAGTTATAACCTGGACGCGGAGAGCTTTGAATAATATAAATATTTAGGAACAATAAATTGAATTTGCGAATTTAACAAGGTTGTTTGGTTCATAATTATTACAAAAGTGCTAAAACATACGTGCTTTGCTTGGTAATTAGTCTTTATTATTATTGTCATTACTGTCATTATTATTTTTTTAATGGACTTTGTGACGAAATTATGTGCGCAATGTTTATTATATCGAATCGTGTACATTATATACAATGCGCCTTATAGGTAATGTCTATATATAAATAAAAATAAAATACCCTACAAACTGAAATTAGTCTAGAATTACTGACAAAACGTAAAATTGTATTTTGGAGAATAACCGTTGGATTGTGATGAATATCGGTTTTTACTTTTTATTCATAATTTTTCAGTTATTAAGACTACAATTTCACATATAATATATAGCTAGTATACTATAGTATATACATATTATATTTCTTTCTTTCTCTCCAGAATGAAATTAATAAATTACCTGAAATATGCAAGTTTTAGGTCAGAATTCAGTTTTTCCAGTAGCTCAGTAGCCGACGTGAATTCTTTTAGTGTCATTTCGGTTTCTTTAGGTTCAGACGAGTCACCATTGTTAACGTCAGACGCAGGCCCTCGCTTTCCAAATTTTCGCAAAGATCCGGCATAGTCTTCTACGTTGTACACCGGAGGTCTTGGTTGATCCTGCGACAACAACACGGAATAATTAGTAATATTTTTAATAGTACGTTTGCAATAAAAAAAACAATAATAATTAACACGGATTATATGTATAGTAAGCATAAACCGGTTGCACAAAACAATTAACTGTTAAAATCGTTCATAAAAATATTATAGTTGTCATTGATTGTTCTTAGCTCACGATTTCAATATTTCATAGGTATATCGGGATAAGATTAAATTTTTACAAAACACAACACAATTAAAACGCATACTATTATAACAGATATATTATCTCACTTTTAAAAAACGCAGTACCCATGCATGGGATACGCGAGACAAAGTTCCTTTTTCACGATTACAAAGCCGGCATGACTTCATGATTAGGGCGCGGGCACGAGACTAAACGGACGAAGCAATTTTTTTTATTTTAGTAAATAAAACGGTTGTCGTATAATTGCCCATCCCCGGATAGTTTAATGAAAATGATTTCACTTTTCCGCTCCATAATGAATAGAAAAAGAAACATCATTTTTATTCTAATACGCGAAGTTGTTATTATATTACGTGATTATAGTTTTGATGGGATCCCACGCTACAAATGAATAGCCGACTATATATATTGAGAGCGGATTTCGCTATAAGTACCTACATAACGCTGTTATGTTGGAACTCTAAACTTCTTTTGAGTTGTTATAATTGCCTTGTAACAATAAAACTACGGTTAAATATGAAAAACACGAGCAGATAACTCGTGCATGGGAATTTTTCACACACCTAATTTTCTTCTCATCCGTTACCCAACACCAAGTAATAATATTATCGTCCTGCCAAATTGTGTCCGTCCTGGGCGAATCCTCATACTCTATTTTACCCTAACTAACGGTATTTGATAACTGTAGGTGCTACATAACCTTATTGTACGCGAAAACATTAAATAGAATTAGACAAATAGATATTACGACACATGTATGTATATTATAATCAAAAGACTTAATACAACTCCGCAATAAGCGATAATTCCATGTACAATTTAAAAACAATTATTTGGTAACTTGTTATTAAATACTGATATTTTGATGTTTTTTAATATTGGCTAGTATGAATTTACTCTGAATAGAACCGTTGTTATAACATTTATATACAAACAATCGTAGCTATGTAACTAACGGACGGACACAACGGGGTTGTAAAGTGTTCTAAACTTATGTTTGGAAACCTAAAATGTTGAATTTTCCTATTTTTAGAACATTTGAATCCACCCACTAGTAATTAATAAAACTATCTAAACTTTGAATAAAGTTTGTATTAAGTTTGGTTAATCTGATTACTATTACGGAATTTTTTTGATGAGACAATGAGTCATAATAATATAATGTAATTTTCATATAATTAGTGGTAAATCAGTAATAAAATGTACATAGAATAATACTAAAATAAGACTATATAATTTTGATTGCATTATACTATGAATACTATTAAAATTAATTAAAGAAAAAAATCCTAGTAGAGATGGTAGTAGATGATACTAATTTGCATAATAATTTTAGTTGTACACGTTCTACCTATATGATAAAGATTATTTTGTTGAACGGTGCGTAACCTTTATGGATTTACCTCAAAAAAACACAGTCGAAACAAGTCCGTATATTATAAACTTTTAAACAGTATTTCGACAAAAAAAAACCACTAGTGAAAACGAATATTTAAGCGCGAAAGTAGTTTGGATCGAGTTTCATTTTAGTATATTATGTATAAAAATGAACGAGCAATGACCAATGAATAACATTGATTCATTGTCCATAAGACATTTGAAGGACATTTTCAACATTTTCAATCAAGTCGTTTTTAAGATAAGAAATCATTTTTAAACCATGGTCAAACAGCTAAATATCATTAAAAAGTTTAATGTATAGTAGAACTAGTATACTTGATATATTAACAAATTGTTAAAATTAAAAAAAATTATTAGTTGTCATGTAAACAGTAAATGTAAGTACCTATCGGATTATAAGTAGGTAGACTAATTGTATTTATTTAATAATATGAAATTTAAGAAATAAACAACTAAAATAAAGTTATAATAGATATAAAATATTTTGTTTATTGAATACGTTGTACATTCGTTCATTTTTCTTACGATAGGTATTAGGTAATATATTTTAATATCAATGTATATTAAAACGTATTTACCATTCATTTTAAATTTTAAACGAGTTAATATATGAATACAATTAATAATGCTTAACATTTGTATGAATAATATGTACCTATTATACCTATATTTGATTTGATATTAAAGGTTAATACTATTAATTTATTGCACAGTAAAAACGCCTACTACTATTTTTTATTGAAATAGAAAGTATTAAAAATAATGTTGACGTGAACATAGTTATATACGTATATAATATTGTTAAGATTAACTGTTCAAATACAACTTTTGTTTAATTTACACATTCAAAAATGAAAACCTACCTTTAAATAATAAACAAAGAAAAATTATTGCATACAGCATCATAGTTACATAATTATATATTACTTGTATTTGGATTCTTTAGTATAGTTTAGTGGATTGTAAATCTAAAAACTATGATTTACTATTTAGCGTGTTGTTTATAAAACGTTTTATTTTACCCTAAAATAAAATGATGAAAAAATGATCACACAAATAATATTATAAAGTGTTCTGATGCTCAGCACAGTTGTTTAATGTAAGATGAAACTCTAGGGAATATTTATTTACTTTTGAATATTATAAATAATATTATCATACCGTTCAATGTCAAACAGTCATAATAATCTTCTCAACATTGATATAATAATTAAAAATGTGAAATACAGGTTTCAAACACTAAAATATTTAGCTATTATAGCTATTATATTATTGATAAAAGTTGAAGTAGTAGTAGCAACTAGCAGTACAGCAATCGGTAAACTTAAATTATCTAGGTTAATTAAATAATAATAATAATAGTAGGTACCTAATAAAAGTAATAATGGTTTTAACTATAAATTATTTTGATGTTTATTATTAAAAATATAAACATTGTATAATGTGGGACATTAATATGGTAAGTCAAATTGGTTCATCTAAAATCTGCATGCATAAATAAATACCAAGCGATTTGATATGCATTTGATTTATTCATTATAAATACAAATATATATACACCAATCAATTTGATTTTCATATGATTTAATTAAATTTCACAGCTAGTTTATTTCAAAATATACCCACGTCAAAATTCACTCTCTACAAATATAATATATTTCAATCATGTATATTAAAACAATTAAAAATACTCTTTTAAACTGAGCTTTCACAAGCGCATTTTGGTTCAATATTTTATTAGTTTATTGACAACATAATTACAATATACCTAGTTCAATAGTTGATAAACTATAATATATTATTATTATATAATTTAATATAATATATTATACGTATACTGCAGCGTCCAAATTTCATTATATTTCCAAAACTATTAACCTTTTTAATTTTTTTTCTTCAAAATAGTCGTTTTGACTTGCCTATAAATTAAGTAAAAAAATGTATATTCATAAAATTTTAAAATAGTGTTTACATTAAAATCACCTTATAAGTATTAACCTATCAATGTTTTTTTTTTTTACATTTTCTATTTAGGATCAATTTTCAATTAGTGAAATTATCCATTTCTACCACAGAATTAAATTCAAAAAATAAATAAAAATATCTAATATCGTTAAAACCATTTCAAAATAATAATTAACATTAATTATTGTAAAAGTTAATTAATAATTTCTATACGCCATGGAAATAATTTGTAATGTTTTGTATTATACATTTTTATAAAATTAATTTAAAATCAATATATTTACTCTTAAATGGTTGCAAACTATAACCGGGTTTATTTAATTAATTCGGATTATGAGAAAAATGGCAGTGTCTTGTATTCGGCATACCAATCAGGATATAAAATCACGTCGGTAAAAAGGAAATGTGGGAAGTGGAAGAGAGGGACTGCAACCATTCATAAGCTCGTGATTCATTTAGTAGTTGTTGCTATACATTACTTACATCCTGACTTAACTGTTTTAATTATTCGATCAAATCATTATGTGTATAAAAATATATTAAGTTGAACTGGTTGATATTCAAACGAATTGTATTAAATTATTAATAGACGTTATAGGTATGATTTTGCACGTAAAAACTTTATAGTCAATTTTCAACTGGCCCTATATAAAATAATAACCTGGGGAAATTAATTAATCATTTCGTAATATGATATGAAGGTTCGTTTAATATCACGGATCATCATCGCCAAAATCTTGCAAACATTACTTTCGCCGGGGCCATTCCATTGTTAAATGTCGGTGGGTTTTTATATCAAAGAGTAGAGATTTTATTGTGACAACACGCGTGAATGTGACATTTACATATGTGGTCGTGATTAATAGATCTGGCTGTGTTTTAAGTTAAATTCCCCATAATGAAAATATCGAGACTAGAATCTTTGTTCAAGGATGGACATCGACTGGAGTGAGAGAATTGCATATATAATTATTCATCAAATATGTTTTAAGTTCGATTCACATAATATATATTTTTTAAATTAAAAGTATATAATATTATAAGCTAATGAAAATAAAAAAAATATTTTCAAATTAACGACTATTTTTAGTTAGTTGAATAAGGCGTATACATTTATGTTACGTAATTCGATTAAATTTAAGAACAATATGGTAAGAACCACAAGTACTTATTAGTTATTTTAGTATATAACATTGATTATACATGGTAGTCGTCGGCACTTTTTCAAACAAGTAGGTATACCTATCTGTGAGTATAAATTATTTTTATCCGTTTTGATGAAATTCTATTGTTTTACACACAAAATAACTATTATTTTAGAGATAAGGTGAACTATGGCGGTACTTCGACTATATAATTTAGTCAGAGAAAGTAATACCGATATGTTACCACATGTTGTTTATAGTATATAAAATATTAAAATCTTGTATCAAATCGATAGTTC